TTAGTAGAAACTTGCGCATCGAAAATCAGTCAAAAGTCTGTGCTGCCCGAAGCATCTACTGCATCAAAAAACAGCCTCTCATCTTTTAAGTCATAACTGATAGTTTTACCTTACTGCCCTGAAGTGTGCACTGACGTACGCCCGTCCCAGGATCACCGTCTGGGCTCATCTGCACACGACATCCTGTTGTACTTTGGATGTTTTGAATCTCAGATCCACCTCTACCGATGACTAGAAAAGCAAAATAAAAAAGCTTTAGGAAGGCAGAGGAAAATTTGTTAGCCCTACCAAGGCCTACTGTGTTTTCGGGAACACTAATTATTTCTACAACAGTTTCTGCCGCACTAGCAACTGTTGGAATCATTGAAGCAGCCCCGAATCCCATCTGTTGTACCATCCCGCTACCATCCATGGCTCCGTCGATGTTACACCTCTTCACGGGATTCGCTGAAAATGCACACAAGTAATTGGGGAAACCAAGTAAAAAAACTTACACTCATTCTAATTTTAAAAAAAAAATGAACTGGTGGGTACGAAAGTACACAAAGAACAACGACACCAATATTCAGAATACAATGCAGAACGAAAAGAACCAGGCGACGCACGCTCAGAGTCGTCAGGGTAGGAGCGCTTGAGAGACGGATTTGTTGCAGCGTCGACACCAGAATGCTAAACGATATTAAGAATCGCGGATAACATCTACATCATTTTTTTATTTTGACGCCCGAACACGAAACTAACATTTACATTTTTATGTTTGAAACGTCAATACACTCAATCATTTTTAATTGAATACGCCATAACATGAAAGTCTTTCCACTATAAACGTCGAGAACAGTTGAAAATTTTCACTCAAATACGCGAATCACATCAAATGCTTCAATGGCTTTCTATATTCTCAATTTGTTTAAAACACAACAGTTTCCTCAATATATCACCAACACAAGTGGAAATCAAATGGAATATCAGTTCAAAGTTGGGTAATCAGGGGGAAAAGCCTTTGAAGATACAGAAAAAAATCGTTTATTTGTCATTATAGTAAAAACCGACATAGGATAAAACCGATTACTAAAACCAAAAGCAAATTAGATTGCTAGTGAATTACCAAAACATATACGTACGAAAATGTCATTCATAGTATATGACTGCAAGAAACACGCAAATTTATCTCATGAGTCATTCACTCACGCTTCACAAGCATCATCAATGTGCGAAGCAAAACACGCAACTTACCATGCTTCTATCGAAATTTATAAATTTCTCACCTCTCTAGCACGTAGAAGAGCGTCTAGAGCGTCGTGGACAGCTTTTTCTTC